GTCTTTCTGGAATGAAATAGAACACCCTGGGACAAGATGTGAGTTTCTTATTTGCCCTCTGAGATGTCAGTTTCTTTTATTGAATTAGCTAAGTCTTTCTTCTTTTTAATTGTATAGTGCTTCTTATTTCTAATCGTATACACTCTAAATTAAACTGGAAAATTTACTTTCTTCCTGTAGAGTGAGATTAAATTACTGTGAAATGCAACAAGGGAGTGTAGGTGGCTGGCACTATGCCAGGATTCGAGAAAAAGGAACGTGGATGTGAACTCTGTGTTTTCCATTTTGGCTTTTGCTCTCTTGCTGACAGCACCAGAGAGGTGAGGTGAGCAAAAAGTAGCTGTTGAAAGAAGAAGCCAAGCGCCTGAGAATGGCCATGGATAAGCAGCCTGAGCTTTTAACTAAACAGGTTAGAAAAGCAAAGTCATTCACAGCAAGCTATTAAATCACATGGACACCATTTGAACTATAAAAAGGCTGAAGGTTCAGGAAAGCCTAGTTGAAAATAATATTGAAGATGCTTGAAGAAATGTAGCGAGAGCACAATTACACCTTTTAAAATATAGGTATCTTTTATACGTGAAACTGTTATTGACATTCTTTTATAATTCTAGCATGGTTATAGGATCAGTATGTTAAACAGTATATCTTGCTCTTAAGCAAACTCAGTAATTAAAAATGTAATGACTCAGTAAGGGATAGATGGCTCTGTGTACCACCTTCTATTGATTTTCAGGTTATCCTCATACGTTCCTCACTAAAAATCTTAGTGACTTCAATATACCTAGATAAAACCTCTAGAACTCTAGTTATTGAACTCTCCTCTATCTTCACCTTTATGCTACTTCTGTCACTCACTATCATATTCTTGTCAATCAAAAATTCAACCCTCCATTATCACTATTCTAAGGAGTCCCATGTGCTTCCTTTAACAGGATGTCATTAACATGCTTCCATCAGCTTTTTGCTGTCACTCAGCTCACTGATATACTTTCTTTTGCCCTTAATCAGTTTAAACCCCTTACCAATCACTGTAAAACAATCTTACTTACACCTGAAGCTCCCTGCCTTTCTAATTTTCATCACACTCACTTGACAAAACCACAATCCTGTTTAATCTAACTCACTACCTTCCTCATCTTT